AAACTCACTGATACTCTCACTTAATCTCTCCTTATTCTCTTTATTCTCTGTTATTCTCTTTAATCTCTGTTTCTGGTTCAAGTAAACACAAGCAGAAACCAGATCCACTCTCTTCTTCATTTCGAGTTCTCTCTGCAACAAATACCACTGTTCATCATCTTCTTCACACACACGACCTCATACTCTGAATATTTCATCAGCACCAAGACGAGAGAGTGTAGATTTGGGCAACTCTCGAGTAAGGCAGGCAACATCTACCACGAAGTGTCTTCGAAGCAAGCTTGCAAGTAAGACAAGTTGGAGAACTGAGGTAGCTTTTCCATTTGACAGTAATCATGAATAACCTATGCAGTGAGGAAATAATTAAAAATAAAAAATAAACATGAGTTTACTAACAAAAGTGTACAATCGTAATGCTATTGAATCAATTACCATGTATATACTTACATTTAGAGTGTGATATGAGATGATCATGTTGCTGACAGTAGATAACCCGGTTAGAAATTTACGGAGCATAGTAATCTTGGAAGATTCATATGACTCAAGTGGTTCACCATATCCCACATTAAAGATAACATCAATGTCTACCTTTGCAGAGGGACCAATACAGTGTATGATGAAGCTTTCAGACAGGTGATCTCTGAAAGTCATACACTCAAGTCTTGGAGCATCAATTGCAACAACAAAATGATCATCACTTTCGCAACGTTCACAAACTATTTTTAAGCTCTTTAGTGAATGTGAACGCATATGCACAGCTAATTCTAGAGAATCATTGGGATCTCGGGATATGGTTAACTTTTCGAGAACAGGACAGCTTGATATTAAAGTCTCCAGAGTCGAAGCATCAGCGTAGATGACCATCTCTAGATGCATAATCTTGACACAAGGCAAGAATAAAGATTCAGGATGTTCTAAGAAGACGCAGTGGAGATTTAAGTTGACCAATCTCTCACATGAATAGATAGATGGAGGCATCGTAACTAACTCATCATCTTCCATCTCATTATGGACATTGAGTTGAAGAATCCTACGCCTAGTCACAGCATCGATCCAAGACTTGAAACGAGATGCATCATGCACATGATGAACCCAATATTTCAGCTTGAATCTCTCCAAGTGTTGCTCATTTTGAGAACACAGAAACCTATCCATGAAACTCACAAAGACATTTTCATCTCTGAATTTTCTGGAATGTAAGTCCAGAGCTGGAACATCTAACCAGAGATTTCTCCAACGTTTTGATAAAACGCTGGTGCAAACCGATTCCTTGGTGGGAAAGTAAGAGAGTATCTTGCATAACAAGGAATCAGGCAGATTGCTTAACCTATCAAAATTCCTTTGGTTCTCTTTAACAGAGGTTTCACCATCCATGTTTAAGTCCTAAGTCTGAGATTTAACATGTAAATCAGAAGAAGAAAAAAAATCTCATAAAGTCAACTCAAGATACAGCCAAATCGGAGATTGCAAAGTTAGCAGAAAGTCAACATGAATAAAAATTTAAACAGAGATGAGCTATGGAAATTACCATCTGATAAGACAGAAACCACCGTAACTTCTCCGGCAAAACACCACACTGATTTTCTCGGTGAAGAATAAGAAACTCTTAGTTCGCCGGTCGACACGAAGATGGCTTGATTTAGAACACGGACATTAGTTTAACACACGCCATTTATCATCGCATTAACCATTGTTTAATAGAGTGATTTATTTATAAATTATAACGTTGCACACATGACATTGAACGTTAAGGGTAAAAGTGTCAACATCACCCACGCACACTATAGATCTCCGCTTATCATACTATCACCGACGGTGTACGTTTTTACACGATTTTTTCTTGATTGAGTTTATCTCAGTTTACACTGCGCGTCTTCTCGGATTAATCATTAATAGCTGCGTAGAAGCAAAGCAACTACTCTCACATGGCAGAGTAGTGAGAGTACATGCAGGGTGGAAGCTTTAATCTTACCAACTCAGGTCTAAACGGTGCTTCTTCAGCTGGAGTCTTACAACAAAATGGAAGTCTTTCGAAATGGAAGATATCCAGCAATCCTCCGGTTGAGCTCTCTCAGGTGCAGTCATGCGTACCTGCTGTTACTCTGAAAACTATGCAGAAAACGATCCCTTGTTTTGGCTTAGTCTTAAAGTCTGTTTTTGGTTATTTATTTTTACAGATATCTTATGGTTGTTCTCATGGACACTCAGTACTCACTAACAGAGGAGGAGGTATGCATACTTTTTGGAATCTAGAGGGCATATTGGAGTAGATCCGTTTTATGTAGAAGAAAAATGGAAATATCAAGTACAAGGAAAAATGAAGAAAAGTAGAAAAACAAACAAAAAGGAAATCATGAAGAAAAGGCAAATAAGAAGATTAAGAAATGTTTAAGATCACAACTCTATAAATAGAGAACTAAGCTCAAGGTTATTGTATTCAAAACAAGAATCATAAACAAAGAGAAAGAGAGTTTTAAGAAATCCCAACACAAACACACTCAAGGTGACAACTCTAATGGCTTCCAATGTTCTTCTCACCGTCCTCCTCGTACTCGTTTCCATATCTCTAACTTCGGGTTCTTCTCGTCCCTCAAGAGATGTTTTGGTTAAGTAAGAAGAAGACCTCGATTCCTACCTAGCTACTTGTCTCTTATGTTTTTTTCTTTTTTTGTAAATATACTTGTCTCATATGTGTACGTACAACTTTTAACAAATATGTATTGTTTCTCTCTTTGTAGACAAGACGATGTTGAATCATATTCTATGGCCTCGAGTCAGCAAGGATCATCGATGCTTGATGTGGAAGATCTAGTGAAAGCTCGAAGTCTCCAAGCTCTACTCGCTGGCTCAAAAGTGGCTGGGAATAAAGCTTCTAAGAGCACTTCATCCGAGAGTAATGATTTTTTTTCCTGTTTTAACCTAAACAATTTAATTATATTTTCATAAACGTTTATTTAGTACCCTAACTACAAACTAAATTGCAGGTTCAAAGAAGAAGAAACATAAGATTGCAGGTTCAAAGAAGAAGAAACATAAGAGTAAAACAGGATCACTGGCTGTTTTAGCCCTTATTGGAATCATAATCGCAGCTATTGTTGTTACTATTATCATCATCTGTGTTATATACTTTTTCTATGTGATGCACAAAACAAAAAAGGCTCAAAGTCTTGGACAAGGTAACTTATAATTCACGTTATATATAGATTACTTACTCATTTGATGAATTGTGCTAATACATTGTTTTTTGTATTGACAAAATAATTCAGAGAAAGCGAATGGATCGTCGAAGAATCAGACTTCCAAAACAGAGGATATTGTCTAAAGAAATTTCATGATCGCTATCATCGATTCGGTGGAACTATATTTGTTTGGGAGGTTAACTCAACTAATATGAATTTTATTAATTATTATCACAACCATACAAAACTTTTTTTTATTACTACCTTTTTTTTAATACCCAGCGTGCCCTTTTTTCATGTTGTGAGAAAAAACATATTTACAAGAATGCCATTACTTTTTTATGCCACGTAAGCAAAAAGTTTGGGTCCACGTAAGAATGCGGCATAAAACTCAG